AACTGCAGCAGAATTGCCACGAGGGGTCATTGACTTTGCTGTCGGGTACCATCTCAGTTGTGTGAGAATTTGATGACTAGCTGGGCTGGCTCGTGAGTGTTATTTATGCAGCACTAACTATGATGTGATGGCTGATGCTGGAGGTTGACCAAGAGGAGCGCTGTGGACGATGCGCAAAGGAGGAGGATGGGGGACTAAGGCATAAGCTACTTGTTTGTTTAACTTATGGTTTCGATATGGGCTACTTAGGGGCTCGGTCTTTGTACCTCCTCTCACGACCTGGCCTTTGGGCCATGCCAGTAATCCTAATCCCTTCTGTATGTTGACAATGCTTATTCTGTCCAAAGGTTGTCTTCTTTCATCTTTAGAAAAGTCTTGGGTCGATACACAAAATCCTCGAAAAACGCTTTTTGCGCGAAATCGATCTTGTTTTTTTCAAATTACCCTTTTATCTTTACTTTTCTTCGGAACCGCATTTTGTTACCTGTATATTCGGAATTAATCATGCTACAATTTTATCTTTCGTTTAGAGGCCTTCGGTCATTCCTCTTAGATTCATGATCGTAAAGTAATTTTGTGACATTTTTTTGGTTCCCAAGATTCCTATGGCTCAAAGCTGGACAGCACCCAATGCAATTAGACACTCAAAGTTACCTACCGTTTCTATGGCCCTAATTCTTGACATTCTTTGGCAGATTAGCGTCACATCTTAAATTTTAGCTGCTAAATAGCCTTCCAAAGAATGTGCCCTTTTTGGACAGGAACCAATTCCTATGTATGCAGGTTGTTTTGTCTGTTTTGGATAAAAATGTAGGCGCAGGAGAGCAAGAAAACATTTATTGAGGGGTAATAATTCAGCGTTACAGAATCGTTTAGGCTAAATGGCAGCTCAAATATTTCAGTCCAATAGGTTCAGCTCCTTTGGAGCGAAAGATTAAACCTTGCAACTTCTGTAATTTAAGCGCCAACTATGCAGGTTGTATGTGCAAAAGCAGTCCTGCTAGAATAAGCAAGTCCTTCTTTTGGCACTTTTTTCGATCCATGATTTGTCAACCGTATTTAGCGTCCTGTTGCAGTGAAGTTAGATTCTTTGTCTTGGTAAATAAAATCTAAAATATTCAGTTGTTTGGAATTATTTCAAACAGAGAGAAGAAACACCTTTTAAATGTAAACATTAAAAAGCTTGTCTAAATTTGCTTATTTTGAAACTTTAGGTTCAGAAATTGATAAATTTGTAGTCGTGGTGGTAAAGCTGACGATTCCCTTATTGGCTAAATTCTCTGAAACATTTTTATGTGCATTAAGTAGTTCGATTTTTAACCAAATATTTTACGTGGTTTAATCCATTCTACCATGTTTCCTACATTCAAAAAATTTGGCACAAAACTGTAATTCCGTTTAAATCTTTTTCATTTCTTCGCCTTCTCTGTGTCACCTCTTTTCTAGCATAAGTCGTCGCCGTAACATTTCCATTATCATAGGCTAGTGTTTTATTGTGAAAATATGGCACCAGCATCTATCACCTTTATAGCCACTTCAATCACTGGTGCCAAATAGCCAAGAGCAGACGCTATCGCTCACTCAGATCAAGACAACACCATCCTGCATCTTTGTATTGCTTCAAACTCCGTGAATTCGGTATGAGACAAGAATCTGTGCGACCATAGTTACTTTAGGTTGATCGAAAATATGTTAGGTGTATCAAATATGCATAACTCAGATTAGGGAATCGAGGTGTTACATTAATGTGAGGCTGGTACCAAAAGCATTAAAACCGGTTTCCAGGACCCCATCACATCTGTTACTAATATCAGGAGTCGTTTTATGATATCAGACTACTACATTATTAAACACAGTATGGATTAGATGCCACGCATCCGACTATGGTTTTATGAGCACAGACATTAAGTGCAAAACACGCCAGCGAGATTGTCTTCAAGGCTTAAGCAGGGGAGAGGAGAAAGAATAGGAGGGTGCCTGTTGTACGCAGGCAGATAATCCACCTGCACTAAACCATTTTATGATCCCTTGGACTGAGCACAAAAGGGCAGGTCAAGGAGGAGTAGGATTAGAGGGACACGTGCACACAGTCTGTCATCAATTAAAAGAATTATGAATCGGGGGA